TCTTGCCCAATAGCAGTCATTTTGATAACTGGCAGCCGTGAAGTGTACATGGATGGGGTAATACCGGAGTGCGACAATTTAATCGTTGCGTAACAGCCGGGGAACAAATTGCGAGGCACGGTGCGTGTCGCCGTTGTCGGCACTGGCCGTATCAAAGTGCTGTTTCAATGTTTCATTCACTTGTCCCTGATGATGGAAGTCATTTCGATAGGGCTACCGTAGCTAGAAAACAAGCGTAAAAATGTCTATGTTGGGACCAATGATGGACGTCGTCCTTGTTCCAATGTGAACCAATGTAATCATAGGGTCGTAAGTTAATTTTAAGTACAATATTTATTGAAATAAAACATTTTAACGGTTTAAAACGCGATATATTAGTTAAACTTATTTGAAAATGATTTTTAACTTCGGCCCGACGTTTAGAATGCTTTGCAGCAGCCGTGGTCACGGAGAGACTCCCCGTGACCACGGCTTTTTTAACGGCGTTTTAAACCGTTAAAGTGTTTTATTTAAATGTGTACTGCTCGCGTATAGACAGAATAGATATTTATTTATTTATACTTTCAATCAAACATCCGTATTTTGTGTGTGTGAAATCCCGTTTCCCCCTCGTGGGGCTTGGGGCGAATACATTTCTGTGTCCGTTTCACCGGTTCGTTCTTTAACAGGTAAGTAGTTGATCAGACTTATGTGCCCTGCCTCAAAGAAACAATTGATTGCTTCCCTGGGATTCAAACCCAGGACCTCTCGCGCTTAACGCAATGCTGGGCCAATACGTTTAACCACTTGGCTACAGACGTGGCCGACAGCCGTACTTAATTATATATTTTTTTTGTAAATAAACGCGGCCTTATAGATTGCTTATATAGAAACATGACAGGTTTATCAATGTAAGTTAAAAAAAAGAAATTAAGACAAGAAAATGTGCTAACTTACAATTCATTTATAAATTCCTTTGCTTCGTCTGGCAATTCTGGATATTAAATGGCTAGTAGAGATTCGGAAGATCAGATAAATCCGTGTTACGGTTTTAGCCTATAGAATTACGAATATCTAAAGCCAAAATAGGGCGACAGCCCATCTTAAGTGTTATTGGCTGGGTATCTCACGTACCATCAAATGAACTACATGCCTGGCAGGTTTTTTTTAAAATACTGGGTCTTCCCCACCCACTCAAAACACGTTATAGAAGTGCCTTGTAAAGTCCAAGTTATCTTTGAGTATGGACATCATATCGCAACATGGATCGTAATAACCATTAGTCCCTTTGTCCAACGACCCTAGCTGCCTAGTCATATGCCGTGAGGTATGACGCGTCACGCACAATGATTTGCCAGTACCTCGCATAAAACTAATGATACCCTACGCGGAAATCGCCGGCGCAGGTTCCTGTGTCACCTGTATGTCTAACTTATTACCATGATAATGTTGAATATATTAATATTGTACAGCCTTTACTCGCTGTATCCTGACTTTAAATCATTCATTTATCAAATTCTAATAAAACCCTCACAACGGTTTAAAAACGCGATATATTTAATGCGAATTACGATAATTAAAAGAAAAACTACTCGAGTAAACTACAAAATACTTTAGGAACGTCAATACAAGTTAAAAAAAACGATTCCAAATTCAAATTTACTAATAGATCTAAACGAGAAGAACTGGCAAAAGTCTCTCCGCCACTCTATATAGTAGAGTTTTCACATAAGTACTTACTGTAGAGTGTTTTACAAGATTGTACACTTTCTTCTACTCTTTTATTCTTCTTTTAGCCTATCAGTATGTTACTGCAGGGCAGATTTCTCCTCTCTTAAATAGATGACTCAACTTTAATGGTACTCTAAAACGCGATATGGTGGGCTTTAACAACTTCGACTTAAAATAGTGATGATAATTCGATACTACGGCGTAACGGAACGTCAATGGAAACTATACATACTAGTAATAAGCTCAAAGGTTAGTTGCTAACATAAAGCGCAGAAAATGTCATTAGTCTTGAAAAAGCGTGTCAGCGACTTGGTCCGAAGTAGAAGAGTCATTTTGTCACAAAAATAATTTTGCAAACTTTATATAAATTGCTGTTACTTACGACGTCGTCTAATCCTGTCGTTCTTCCAAGTTAGTAGGGATATGTTTTTAATTATTTAAAACTGAAATATACGGTTTTAAAACCCGTTAAAGTGATTTATTTGCCCAAGTTTCGGTTGCTTCACTACCACTAAACTACGTTTTAAACCTTAAAGTGTTTTAAATGTGTACTCTCGCGGCACGAAACATACTTAACCATATTTCCCGCTCCACACCTCTGTTACTAAGTTCCCACTTGTCGCAATGTGATATTTTATAGCCTTCTTCCATAAAAATTCTAACCAATACAAAAAGTATTTTTCAATTCACCGTTTAAATAAACAAATATTCTTTTTCTTTGTAATATCCTGTAATATGTTAAAGCGAGTTTAGTTCAGTTCAATTAATTGAAGATCGTTCCTAGTAATTTTGTTTTTAAATTTAGCGCTTAGCATTGCGTGACGTTGAGCAATTAGGACGCTATCATCGTCTTGTTGATACACACAGCTGGTCATAGCTGAAGTACTTGTCGTTTCCTGTACAGTGCACAAGAGCACTAATTACGTTAGACGTACAGAACAACAAATATTTATTTATTATATTTTTTTGATACAGGAGCACAATAAATCTTGGGTTCATTTGATCGTAGTTGAAATACGCCAGCCATATAACATATAAATAAGATGCACTGTCGAACTGTTTGGCTTTGGATATTCGGATATCCGCAGACTGAAGCCGAAACGCGACTGAACTTAGACAGTGACGGTTAAAATAATTGAAGAGCTAACTTAACAATGGTAAAGTTTTATGGTTAATTTGGAACTTACTGAATTATTTTGTTATTTTTATAGCCCTCTATCGTGAATATAATTAGACTTATTTATATTGAGGATACGTAAGTGTTTTAATAAATACAGTTAAACATATACACACTAAAGGGACTGTGATTTTATGGCGTTATAGAAGTTGTCTTAAATGGAGAGAAGAAACATTGTATGAAAAACAAGCTAAACCAACCAAAGCCAATTAATTTCGACGCTTAAGAGAGTTTGTCGTTAAATAGAGTGACGTTACATGGAGTTTACACTGTACATCATATATTTCTAATTTATACAGATCGCAGAGAAATGATTACGCAGGTCAATGTATAAATTAGTTTTACACAGGAAACGGCGTACGCGCATCCAGTTATTAGTACAGTAATTAGAGCCATGAGACAAGAGTTAAATATACAATTGTTTTTACTTTTAATACGACGTTAAATTATTAATCTAAAAAACGAACATTCTTTGATAATTTTTATCCACATGAGATTTTATTTTTATATCAGGAATCCCTCTGTCAATCTCTTTTTATACAATAAAAGAAGACAAACAATCATGGCGTTACCCATAATGAAATACCCCAGCCATAACATCGAAATAAGACGACCTGTTTTGGCTTTAGATATTTAGAAATCCACAGACTGAACACGCAACGCGATTAAACTTCACAGCTTTTCACCTGTAGACTGTAATTTGATATCCAGACTAAATTCAACATGTTTCAGAAAAAAAAATTCTTTGTGATATGTAAAAGCTAAATACTGAATGGATTTCAATTAAACTTTCCAAAAATATAGCTTATACATCAGAATAACACATAGGCTACAATTTATAAAGACATCGTGTGAGCTGTCCAAAATATGACATTAAGTGTCAAGTAACTAGGAAAAAACCTGCCTTTCTGCGAGCTATTCTGGCGTGCGCTGCCATTAACGTTAGTTACACACATGTAATGTATGATATGATATACATGATTTAATTTAAATGCGCGATACCAAGTAATCCTAATCCTGCGTAAACGAAGTCGCGGGCACCAGCTAGTGTTTTATATAACTGGAAGTGAAACAATTCTTGTGTAGTGCTGCTATTTCATGGCAAACTTAGTTTCTTAATAATAATTTTCCCGCTCGAATAACTTTCAACATCGATAATTTCGTTCGCTTTTCAATCAAGAGCCTTCGAGGCGATTCGCAATCTGTTTCAACGAAAACCTTTGGTTCTTGTTTTGCGAATAGGTTAGTAGTTATTCGAATTCTTGTACGTATGTATGTACCTACTTATTACTGGTTTGTTGGTTCAATGATATTGGCTAATGATTTACGGGTCTTGAGTTCTATTCCAAACGGATCAAACATATTAAAAAGAATGTTAAAATTTTTCTGCAAGATAGACTACGTTTCTACGTTTTAAAGGCTGTAAATTTGAAATCTAAATTTTTTTTTTCACATATTATATAAATTAAAAATGCCCTTTGGGAGAAACGTGCATGAATACAATGGGTTGAAAAATTCAAAATTGATTTTTTTCTGTCGTACACATTTAAATAAAACACTTTAACGGTTTTAAATAGGATATATTATATTAGTTATACTTACTTGAAAATAATTTTAACTGCGGCCCGACGTTTCGGATGCCTAGCAGCAGCCGTGGTTACTAAAATAAGTAAACTGAAATATATCGCGTTTTAAAACGTTAAATTGTTTTATTTAAGCCGTGGTCACGGGGAGACCACGGCTGCTGCAAAGCATCCGAAAGTCGGACCGTAGTTAAAAATAATTATCAAACGAGTTTAACTACAATATACGTTTTTTAAACCGTTAAAGTGTTTTAATTGAATGTGTACTACTCGCGTAAACTACAGATAATACACAAAATATTTTAACTTATTTACAATTAACTTTAACTACGGCCCTGCGCGGCGTTTCGGATTGCAGCAGCCGTGGCCACGAGGGGATTGAAGGTAGAGGATAGTTCTAATGTCAAAGTCAAACTGCTACGCCAGCGCCATCATTTACTCGTAGTTGGTATTTGAAGAAACTAGCTTTCAAACTGTTATAAGTCTTTTATTTCTAATTTAACTCTCAATTATCTGATTTTATAAAGCAATCACCACGTTATTATTCTCGTCGTGGAAAAAATCGAATCCCATTTGCCGTATCTAAAGATAGGGCTGCGGGCTGCGGTTTCAAAGAATGTGGCTTCCACGGGGAACCGGGCGTCGCCCTCCTCCCATTTCACATTTCTCGGAAGGGTAATTTCAATCATATCTCCACCGAGCAACCGTCGGGACATTAGCCTAGGTAACATCGCGTCAGCCTATAATCTGACGAAACAAGAAGCCGTCAAGCTTGTCTAGAATAAGGTGGATTCGATGAGATGAAATAAATGCATTTTGATTTATAATATACTGGAAATAATATGTATAAAAGAAAAACTTTATATACAGTTAATAGAAACAATGGATTTAAATCTATGGATTAAGTTTGTGGATTTCCGAATATTCAAAGTCAAAATAGATGCGATAATGCATCTTGTTAAATATGGCGGGCGTTTCACCCTCCGTAAAGTGAGCCGTATGCTTGTCTATCCTTGTCTATCATAAAAAACCGTTTAAAACTCGAATATTACTAGCAATATTAGAGAATGTTAATACGTTTTATTGCACACGTGCAAAGCCAATATGCAACAGTTATCAAATACTTACAGACATTTTCAACACGGTTGAACATATATTCTCGTTTTGAACCGTTAAAAGCGTTTTACTTATATGTTCAGTATTCTCGTAAACTAAACACAGTTATATTACACTAGTAATTTTCTACGTTGTTTCTCTTATTTGTAACCTACTAAAGTTTATACATGATACATATATCTATACTAATATTATAAATACGAAAGTAACTCTGTCTGTCTGTCTGTCCGGCTTTAACTCCGAAACTACTGAACTGCTTTAAATGAAATTTGGTACATAGATATTTTAGAGCCTGAGAAAGGACATTTTAATGCCAAAAAAGGGTTGAAAAAGGGGATGAAAGTTTGTATGGAAATTCGTGGTTTTTTAAAGCTAGAACAATGAAACTTTCTTCTTTGGCTTTTTGGGAATAGGAGTGCGAGTGGGAGTGGAAGTGAGTATTAGAATGACGGTGGGACTTAGAGTAGGAGTGATTTGAAGTTAGAGTGTTGCGGGAAAGTTGCACTTACAACATAGATAGAGAGACTTATAAGTAATTACTAAGGCACAGCTAGTAGTCTATATATTATACCTAGACTCAGATATAAGTGCTTAGTTCCACTACACAGCTGTTCTTAGAATTCCAAATACCGAACTTACATTTTGCCCCACCCGGGATCAGAATCTGTAGTCGGCTAACCACTAGACCTACGAGGCAGTTTCTCTAATTGGCACTTTATTTCGACCGCCCGAATCGCCTCCGAGAAATTTCTCGATACTTTTCAAACGATTATTTCTCAGAAATTCAACAAATGAAACGCTTGGGTCAATTTTACTATCTGCGCTAAACAGGCTCTGAGGCAAATTTGAAGTTAGCTGTTTAAAGAGCTAAACTGTGTTTTAAATAAAAAAATAAGGAAGATACTAAGCAAGACACAAATGAAACGTAAATATAGTAGAGACTGTCCTAACTGAGAACTATCACTTGTTTTTTATTTCTACATGCAAAGGTTGCCTGAAAGAAATCGCCATAGGCGATAAGGCCTTTGCACAAACACGTTTTAGTCTGTATATATAATTCTGAGTTTCTATGTTCCATTGTATATATATGTTTGTGGAATAAGGAATTGTATTATTACTCGAAACAATAAATACAGACAAGCTCGTGACGGCAGCTTCGCTAGAATTTAGAAGAGATCATATTTGAACGAATTATCTCATATACGAACAATTTTTAACAGTTTGAAACGTCACATGCGTACTTTGGTTAAATAGATAATTATTTTTTAAACTACGATCTGACGTTTGTTAAGCAAGTCAGTCCCCAATAAACACGATTTCTGTGGACTGGTTGGTAAATATTTCTTGTTCAAAACAATTATATAATAACTAGCTGTGCCCGCGACTTCGTCCACGTGGAATAGTAAATGAGTAGAATTTTCCAATTATTTAGGCTGTTTATTTATTTATTTTATAAACTTAATAAGACACATGTTTAAATACAGTGTTTCGCTGCAAAGAGCTTATTAAGGTATAATAATAAATATATCCATGGTATAGTGTATTTTTATATGCCTATTTGAGATTTATAGTTAATTTTGCATTTATAATATTAGTAAGTTGTATAGAAATTATTTACGATATATCCACATAACTTTTCATACCCCTTACTACCGTTTTTTCGTACAGCAAAAGGCTTTACAATGCAAAGCGCATTTAAGGCAGCCAATCTGTGTTGCTACTTTGCCGCAACACTCCCACTCCCACCTCACATCACTCCCATTCCCATTCTCACTTCCACTCTCACTCCCATTCCCAAAAAGCTAAAGAAGAAAGTTTCATTGTTCTAGCTTTAAAAAATAACGAATTTCCATACAAACTTTCAACCCTTTTTTGGCATTAAAAAGTAGCCTATATCCTTTCTCGTGCTCTAGAATATCTGTGTACCAAATTTCAATCAAATCAGTTCTTTCGGCGTGAAAGCCGGACAGACAGACAGATAGACAGAGTTACTTTCGCAGAGTTACTTACAGACACATAAACTATACTTAAGTGAATTCCCGTTTCCCCCTCGTGGGGCTTGGGGCGAACACATTTCTGTGTCCGTTTCACCGATCCGTTCTTTAACAGGCAAGTAGTTGATCAAACTTCTGTGCCCTACCCGTCCGGAACAATTATTTTTTGTTCCCTTGGGATTCGAACCAGACCCCTGCGCGGTAATGCGTTAACCATTTGGCTACAAACTATACTTAATATTTCTAACTAACTTCGTCCCCCCTGTGACCACAGACTGCTGCGAATTATCCGAAACTTCAGGCCTTAGTTTAAAAATAAGTTAACTATTTCGCGTTCTAAGCCGTCAAACATGTTTTATTTAAATGTGTACTACTCGCATAATCTACAGACAGTACATAGTTAGCATTTATCACCTTTTAAATCCGTATTCATTCATTTCTTCGAAGTCGATATTGCAACACTTTTGTTGGAAGTTCTGCAAATCCTCTACCGGTTATTTTCAATCAGCAGAACAGGTAATGTATGCAATAAAAACACGGATTTCGTCATATTGTTATTATGTGTAGTCAACATTTTACATTTGAACTGTGTCAATGACGAATTATTAGGTAAATAGGACTGTTTAGAACGCAGAAAAACTAGTAGCTTATGTACGTACATAATTATTATGCACTAGCTGTGTCAGCGACTTCGTCCCCGTAGAATAGTTATTTTCCAAATTAGTTTTGCGAACCTCTTCATCGCATCCCGTCCTTTTGCAAAATCTTATAAGATGGACATACGCTGTGGCGGACTATGTACGCGCATTTACACTTCACGGCTTCCCCATCTGCGTCCACGTCACACAAGTCATACACTTATCTAGTTTATTACATAATATTATTATTTTACAATCACACTTATTAACTCTACTAACTATTTCAAATAAAATGCTTGTAGCTACTACAAAACTAGTGATAGAGGAGGACTGAGAAGCATTATTCATAGATGCTAAAATTTTCATGTCAAGATCCCCGTCGATGTATTTTGACTGAAATCGAAACATCACTCAACAAAACTCACGGCTTTTTCATCTGTGGTCGATGGCCCGTGCCCTTGGACGGATTGTCGATTTTAAGTTATCGTTAATAATAAGCTAACCAATTTTTTTTGAACTCTGACCCAACGTTTTGGATACTTTGCATCAGTAATCAGTAACACAATAACTAATTACTTCGCGTTTTATACTGTTAAAAGACAATGTTTGTTTTAATTTGTATAATTTTAAACTTTAAACTTCAGACAATGCACTACTCCTCTTTTTTATAGCTCTGGAATTTATTTTTGTGGTTTTTATGAAGATAAAAAGTTAGTAGTCTACATTTCTGCGACTCGCCCAACTTTTATCAGCGTTTGATACCCGATTTTTTGTAGGTTAGGAAAAAATTGGGTTCAAAATTTTTTTTTTAGACCCCTTCCAGCAGTGTTTTAAAAGCGAAATATTTGTAGTCGATTTTGCTTAATTCAATTAATTATTTGAGTAGATATTTTTTGTACGGAACCCTTTGACCGCCAGTCCGATTCGTGCTTAGTACGTTTTTTATTTAAGAACTTGCACGTCTATGCACGACCTAAAACATAATTTGGTAATTCTCAGGAGTTTAATATTGAGGTCACGTAGAGAAATTCCATCCATCCATTCATACCCACCAACTGATTTTAATAACATGAATATTTTCAAATACTTTAGTCGGGTGTTGTGTAAGGTAACGCGTACTGGCGGAATTTGAACCCTAGACAACAGTGGTATCGCGACCGTAAATAGATTTAAAAATTTTTTAAGATGCTCTTGATTTAAAAAAAATATATTCACAGACATTCTTAGTGACCGGCCAAAACGGTAAACCGTAAAGTGAATAATTCATATGCGATAATGTTATCCGCCTTGAACATTACACAATGTTATGATAAGTAATATCTTTAACTAAATACCTGTTGATGTTGCCAGCCAATAAATCTCGAGCGAGCGGCACGAAACATTGAAGTATGAAGAATGATTCCGGTCTGAAGGGCAAGGCCACCGGTCGATGACCGGGCTATTTAGGGACGGAACATTCCGCTTCAAACTATGCTACACGCTCAAAACGAATTTCGTTTCTAGTTTTTACTAAATAAGGATTTTCCCGTAAAGCCTCGCTAACACTCAAACCTCTATGCTATTTATAATAACTACTACTACTACTACTACACGTAAATTTATAAAATAGAATAAATATACGTTTTTTCTATTTAATTTTCTACTTTATTGTATTTTTGTGTGAGTGGAATAAATGATTTGATTTGATAATATTATAATGCTAAGTTCGCTTAAACGTGGTAATCTCAGGACCTACTGGTCTGTTTTGTATTGGATAGACCATTTATTGAGTAAGGCTATATAAGATAACGCTGAGACCAATACGTCTAAAAATGTGGAGGAAACGAGGAAAATTCTTTATATATGAGGGATGCCGTTGCGTGCGTTGTGAAACCAGTTGATGAAACTAAAAAGTATGTAAGAAAGAATGATAAATGGTCTTAACAAAATTTGCGCGACCATGGTTTAAGGTTAACACACAAGAACCATTTTAACAGTAATCAC